TGTTTTAACTTTCAACCGTCATTGGAGCAGAGCGTATATTTCGATTATTGTTCAAGAAATTACTCTAATTCACCGTTGTCTCCAGAAAGTGTTGAAGATTTGTTAATACTCCAACTAATCTTGTGTGACACGAATGTTACGTGTGCCTTCTATATTGCACGTACACAAACTTTTTTGTTTTCATGCAATCGGCAGTCTCAAACTGCTTGGAGGCCAAGGGAGAATTCGTTGTCCACATGTTTGATGAAGTGATGAGACTGAAGTACTCACTTTTCTGTTTGATCACACATGTCATTAGCAGATCGACATACTGTCCCTTTTGTCCTCATGATATCTCTACAACTACCATCTCCAACACATTCAGATGTTCTAATGCAGCTTGAGGATGGGTAAGACGATTGGCAGCTGTAACTCTGTCCTTTGCAACTAACGAAATGAAGAGAAAAGGTAAATCCATACGGAACTATCTTGATGAAAGATAGAGACAGATGATTTGACACATCAGAGTCTTAGCAATAAGTGATTTCTGTGAAATGAGAACCATGCCATGATGGGAACTAGAAATAAAACGCGGCTGGTGAACAAGGCAAGATCAACACCCACAAATTCCTGCAACACGTGTATTAAGGAGGCAATGGCAACTAAGAGACTTAAACAGAATACCAAAAGTCTGCTCAACCTTTACTGGTGTGAAGAGTTTTAAAATAATTTTGTAAGCATTTTTTATCGAAGAATATCTCGTGGAGTTTTCAATAAGGTACAAAACAGTTGTTGCTTCCTCTCTCAGCACAATGCATGAGCATGGGGAAAATTCAGTCTCGATGGGTATAATTTTTTTATGCAATGCTTGGCAGAGGATACCCATCGTTTGCGAAATAGTTCTCATACTATATTTCCACAAATTGCATAACAAGCTGCTCTACGGTGCACCTTGTTCAGTCTATCTATCTATTTTTTTTTTTACAAGTAGGCAAAGGAGAGCAGAGGTCTAATTTCGTTCCCGCCCTGAATCTCGACTTGGGAGTAAATAGCAAGTTTGTCAACAGACTTCCCTTAAGTGGTTAGAATAGCGACGATGGATGGGTGTGGTGTCTTGCACCTTCACCGTGGTCCCTCGAAACGATTATTTTTTAAAATAGTTACCTTCCTGCGTTACACACGTCCCTTTTGGTACACTTGTCTTTGTCGTCACAATAAGCGCCGTTGCGATTAGACCATGTGCTGCTAGCACGGGCTGTCACATCTAACAGATCACACCACTCGCACGGGTTTGATGGATTAAGGATGTGATGGTCATAGTCGCGGCCTGAAATTTAAAATAAGATTTATTACTATCAAAATCTTTGTTATTATTCATAAAGGACTTACTTAGCGTTTCAGAGCTATTCCGATCTATTCCGATCATGTTTTATACCGTCAACAACGCCGTCGTCACAGCCGTAATCGCCTTAAACATTATCAATATCTCAGGCATAGATTGGATAGGTATGAATAAATTATGGTTGCAGTGGAAAACATCTTAGTTGTGTGGATATAACATTTCATTGCATTGACTTCGTATGGAAATTGATGTTGCTTGGCTAAGCAAAGCAAGTAATCTAAAGAAGATTGTGGATGAAAAAAAATATATATAAAAACTAGAAATGAAGCAACGATTCACCATTATGCACGTAGGAGTATGTTGGATGTACTGAAAGAATAAAAAGTAAAGGATTGTCTCGAACGTTTATACTTTGTATTCTATGACTAAGAAAACTTTTGGATTTAGCGTTTGCGACTTTCCACACTATCCGCATTGCGCCTGGACACCGTTTTCATGACCTTAAAAAGCCTGGTAAAAAAGAAAATTCTGAGCACGATCAGTTTTTAAACGGGAGAAGAGAAGACTCCATTTCTTGAAAGACTGGTGCTCTGAACACAAAGCCAAGCTGTTTCCTTTTCGTCTTTTGAACTTCTTTACGTTCTTATGGTAAAAAAAAAAGGACTCACCGTTGATTTTACATTTGCATTTGCCGTTGGAAAATCCATACCCAGTTTTCAGACCACAACTGTTCCCATTACAGTTCTGACATATGGAGTTACAGGTGAGAGGTGTACCCTTACATTGGCCATTGCTACACTTGTCACGTCGAGTACATATGTTACCATCATCGCAAGCTGCCCCATCATTATCGGACCAAGTGCTTACGCTTTTACTGGTGTCACATTTCTGAAATACAACACTTTAAGTTCTCTACGATCACATCAAATTTAATACTTTTAATCAATAGATATAGGAAGTTAGGTCTTAGCACCAGCAACCCTAGAAAGTAGAACTTCTTACATCGTGGATGAGTCTAGGTCAAACTAGAATTTGCTGGAATTTTGTGTACGGAACAAGAAGAAAAAGGTTTGCTCTCGGAAAACTGTTCTCGGAGCAGATGTCCGCGGACAAATATACATGTATATTTTCGGGCCAGATGGAGGCTATTGTTTATTCAACATTACCTGACATGGACGCCCCGACCTTGAATTTCCATCGCTAACACATGTTTTCGTCCCTCTTTCAAAGATTACGCAGTATCCTGATTTCGTTCGGCAGACATCATTGTAACACTCTTCACAAGGCGACAAGCAGTTGAATGGTGTACCAATGCATTTTCCAGCAGAGCAGCGATCATTTTTGGTGCATGCATTGCCATCATCGCATGACAAGGCATTATCGTTTGTCCATGATGTCTTTCTGGAACTATCACATTTCTACAGGAAAGTCATTTGAAATCAGTAATGCAATGTGTTAATTGAATATTTCTCAGCAGGTTTATTACAGACCCAGAGCATAATTTTCATAACGTTATTTGAACACACGGGCAAGATGCAATCATAACTTATCATGTCCGGGATACGAACAAAATTGGGATTTTGCTACATGGGCTATTAAATCAATTTTTTTTCAACGTTCAACAGATGGTAAATTGATGGAAAGAGACGAGTGGCGTTAACTTTTCAATAGTGTCCTGAATTGAAAAAAATCAGCCATGTTACCTATAAAACATTCATTCATTGAGTAGTGAGATGGTTATTATTCTCACCTGACAGGGATTGCCTGGATTGATGTATTTGAAAGGATAACATTTGTTGTTTATTTTACACTGCTCCAAATTACATGTTCCTCCTGATGGGGTATAACAAGGATTGCAGCTGCAGATGTAGCCCCCATTGTTCAAGTCGGTGCAAATGTGATGACATGGTTTCAGGTTCACGCAGACCTCTAAGAGTGTGGAAGGAAATGGCGATGGAAGAAGGGTTATCTCATAAAATGTGACGAAGATAGCAGTTATGATGACTAAACTCTATAATCCTTCTTTCAAATCTGTCTCGGACCCTATACCTTTTTGCTTACTTTTAAATTAGAAACTTAATTCCTCAATTTATTTTGTGTACATTAAAACAATTTAAATTTTCACCAGGTAAACATTTGTGGCGCTCTTACCATCTACAGTCCTAGTTGTAAGATCAGAATGCTTTGAACAAGTAATTAAGCAATTATTTTTGGAAAAATGCGACTACTGACCCTTAAAGGATCTTTTACTGAAAAGTCTTTAATGGCTGCATCTGTCATCGAAACTATCATTTTGCGAGAATAAGAGGGAATGGGGCATACATAAACATCATTAGTAATGCTATATTAATGGTAATGAAACAAAGAGTTTTGTTCGTATTAGAGAAAGGTTTGTCTGCGCATAGATTGACATCTTATGGGTTCAGTGTAAATTTACTAGCTTTCCATGGCAAATGGTGCAATCTGATTGGCTACGCTACACAACAGATTATAATCACTTGACCACTAGTACATTTGTATTTAAACAAGTAGATTATTCAATCTCGATTATATCCATCATAGTTGATTCGGGCTTCATTCACATCAGCTATCACACGATAGAAATTTCGAATTTATAGTCCAATATCTGATAAAGTTGTCGCAAATGCGCATATATTATTGGTAACCCTGAAGGGGAATAGCTCTCTGGCCAAGGATAATAGCACTATCCATGTGAGCATAATTATTGTTACGTACGAGGTGGCCTCAGCTATACGTCTGGTGGTTTCTAGAGGTCACCTCGCGGTATATTAAACTCTCGATAAGTTGTTAGTAAATTAGGGGAAAAAGGGAAAATGGCAAATAAACAAATAAGGTTATAGTAGTTTCTTTGCATCGAGTTAAATATTCCGCAAGTAAAGAGAGGGTCTAAGTCGGCCTTCTATAATAGAAGTAATCGTTAAAAAGAACCATATGTCTTGATTTAAACGGTCTTGGAAATTAAAATAGATAAATAAATAGTAAAAAAGTAAAAGAAATAAATGATTATAGTAATAATAATAGTAATAATAATAGTAATAATTATTTTTTTAACAATACATATTTTATTCGCTCTAATCATCAAATATATTTACAAACAAATTAAGATAAAATCCTTAAAAATCGAAAAATACATAAAAATGTCGACTAACAAAAGATCTAAAAAAAACTAACTGGTGCACGCTTCGTTTACTTGTTGAACTTTAAGGAAGGAGAGAAAAAAAAAAAAAAGAAAGAAATTGACAATAGTACCAAAAGTGAGGAATATTAAAATATTTGATAGTGATAATAGCAGTAATCCTATTGATAAGATCCTAACAAATGGCAGCCTCTGATCTTTTAATTAGTAAAATCCAATTTGGGCCTTCAAATTGTTCTAGATCCTCTCAGGCAGATTAGGGCCGATCTTAATCATGCAAACGAAGTTTCTGCCCTAATCCTGATAGGATTTTGCCCAGATAGTAACAATAAAAGTAATAATAATAGTAATAGTAATAATAATAATGATTAAAAATAACTTTCTTCAAAACTTAAAACTTTACAATAACTTCGCGTGGGTAATGGTTTTTCCTCTCGTACATTTCCAAATTAATTGACACGGAACACATCTGTTCAATTCGGTTCTCTAGGATCAGACTCGTATCAGACCCAAACTAACTTTGATAACAAAAACGACCTACATATAAAAATCGCAAAAGCAACTACTAGTTCGTATTAAAAGAATTTCAGAAAACGTGCATCGAAATTATCCTTATAAAAGTAAATTACATTTAAAAAAATATATGAAAAGGGAAATGACACTCCTACTCTAAAAGACTATAAAAACAAATTTTAAAAATGTCTAACCTATATTTGCCATAGCATTGTCAATTTAAAAATAACAATAATAATGATAATGATAATAAAAGAATACCCCCGACCTACTGAGCTTTCTTTTTTCGCTCTCCTACGGATTACACTGTAACAACTGTAAAGTAAGAACCAAATTAGTTATTTGTACTCACCCGAGCATTTGTATGTGTTGCAGAGTTTGGTTTCTTTAGGTTGCCCAGAACAATCACTACCACCACCACTGGGAGGTGGATCTGTACAACTTCGTGTGCGGTGTTGTGTGCCAGTATTACAGAGTTGGCTGCACTGACTCCATCGACCCCAATCAGTCCAACTGCCATTAATGACTTTAAAAAGGAAAAATGCATAAATAGATACATAACTAAATTACAAAGTAAATGTGTAAGGGAGCTAATATATCAACAGGTAAGTGCAGTGTTTTCGGGGTGTTGCTGTTTTGATTTAGTTGTTGATGTTTTTTTGTTTTATTCTTTTTTGGGCGACAGATGTTACTTTGGCAACCTTTTTCAAGAGGCTCTCCCCCCCCTCCAAATAATAGGGGTCTTTACTAACTTCATGCCTGATGCACTGGCAAAATGATTTTTGTCGGTGAATTGAAGCGGTATTAATCGCTCGCCAATCGATCGCCAAAATGGCGGGAATTCCCGTGTAAAGTTGAGCTGCCTGAAGAGCTCATTAGACAAAAATACAAAACAACTTCAAATCGTTTTCTTTGAGGGCCTTGTTTGAGGATGAAATCAGCTTTGTTTGCTGAAGCGTTAGTCGGACGGAGAGGTAAACTGTCAGTCGCTCGGTAAAACCAAAGTAAAACTTCGGCGACCTACTATCCCTGTGTTTACATTTGAGCTTTTACCAAGGTAAAAATTTACTAAGGTCAAGTTACTTGACCTTGGTACATTCGTCCAGTGTTTACACTAGCTCAAATAACTCAAGTTGATCTGTCAACACTCCCGCTATCTGCATATACGTGGATATTGTGAATATGCAGCATCCTCCCTGGTGGGAAAATACCACGACCATTATTACACAACGAAGGATAGAAGTTTGTCCAATCGCTCTCTGACTTCTCTGTTATCTGCCATGATAGCAACGCTTGGCCGAAAACGTGGCAGTCGCACGATCTGCTCACCGCGGGATGTGACATATTACACCGCCACAAGCGGATATATGTCATCTTGACCTTGGTTGCCAACTCTCTAACCATGCCTGATCACAGGGTAATTACAACTTTTACCTTGGTTAAACTTCTTTTGTCTTTTGCAGCATTTACCAAAGTATCAGTTAGCGTTTACACACGGAAAATGTTTACCTAGGTAAGTAAACTCTCGTACCTCAGTAAACCGTTCAAGTCTAAACACGGCAGATATGTCATAAGAGCACACGCGTAACTGGTATTTGGGATGTGGTGTTTCAAAACTGGTTCATGTTGCATCGTTTAGCTGCGGATATTGGAGTCGGGCAAAGGGCTGTTCAAAAATTAGATGAAGTAAAACATTTGTGAAGCCGCGTGATGTTCTGATGGATGCTTCTCTTTTCTCGCGGTACGTTACCCGTTAAAGGAATCCTTTTTTATTTTCCATTTTCTTTTTCGTTAACGGTTACGCTAACGGTTCTCGCATGGGACGCGCTTCCGCGAGCTATTTCTCAAACAGCCAAAGTCTCGTTAAAACGGTTATTATTATCATTGTTGTCGAGCATTTTGGTGCATTTTGTACACTGCGAGCAGAGGCCCTTTGATCTTCCTAGATTAGTCGGGAAGAGAAAGGAGCCTCTGTACGCCGCCTCGACTTCCCTGTGGAGCCGCTCTTCGACCGAAGCGGATGAGTCAGTCCGGTTGGAAGCCAGTTTTCCCTTCTTCGGCTCAGTGCGCATACGTTTTGTTAGAAATTTCTGACTAAATAGGCGCCCACAGTTCATTGTTTACGCTCATGACTTTCACAAAATGGCGGCAGTTTCTCTTCCGAAGGATGTGTTTGATAAAGCTGTGAGAAGTGCTCTCGATAAGGTAAATACTCGTGGAATAGATGCTCTTACTAAACATCAGTCAAAGGCATTGCTTAATTTCCTGTGCGGTAAATATACGTTTGTCTGTTTGCCTACCGGTCATGGCAAGTCGCTAATTTACCAACTCTGCCCTCTTGTTGTGAAAGAACTTTCTTTACTTGGAATGAAACAAAGTGAATAGTTAATTGCTAACGGAATCGAGGCTAAGCAAGGCTCGGTTACATGAATTTAACGCATGCTCAACAGGGAAAGTCCAGGCGGCGAGCAGAGGCTCCTTTCTCTTCCCGACTAATCTAGGAAGATCAAAGTGCCTCTGCTCGCGGGTACGCATTTTGCGGACTAAAATGAAAAATATCGCATTTCAGCCCACTGATACAAGTCAATGAAAAGTTATAGTAAAAAAATCCTCCGTTGAAAGCAGCCAATTAAAATCAAGAAGTAATAGCAATGTTCTTGCCCTCCTTCTTTAGCCGTTTAACGAGATAGAGGAAAGCAGGTTGTCCTAAGTGGTCAAATATGACATAAAAATTGGATGAATTGAAAGGCCAATCTTTGAGTGTTTTTTTTCCCCTTTTTTTCATGTGTTGTCAAACAAAAAACCCCACCGATTGGGCACTTAATGATCGCTTAAAGTAGCTGAAACAATAGAGAAGAACAATCAAATGTACACACGTCAGTACTTCAACCGGTAACCGGTCGTTTCGCCAACGCGTCAATTCGCCAACGAACACTTCGCCAACGTCTAATGTCAGTTGGCTAACGCTTATATAAAAATTAAACTTTGATGTATTCACGGGTGTTCGTAGGTTAGCCTCGTTTGAAATTGTTTGTTTCACTCTCCCAAATCTCTCCCCACACACGGCAACACAATCCGTTAATCGATCGATGGCCGATCAAGTTTAAAAAATAACTCGAAAACCATCCGCCGCTTTTACCCAATAGAGTATGAACCTCGTGTAAAATCTTGCGTAGTTAAATAGCTATTGACTCTAAATATATTTGTTTGATTACGTCAACCTGTACGTTATCAATGATTATCCACGTTTTTCTTTTCTTATCAGCCTTTTGACATGACTAAGTCATCAAGCAGTTAGGTACAGATTTGATAAGGCTATTAAATCTGAAAACTAACATATGTTCTGTTTTTGTGCTTCCCTCGGTTAGCGAAGTATCATGGTCAAAGTCATGTCTTATCTATCCAATAGAAGCATTCCTCTTTCGAACTAACTTACATTTAAGTGGGTCGGAAAAATAGATGTTTTTAAGCGATTTTCGGCTGTCACTAGCTAAGCGACTTCAACTGATCGCTCGTGAAAACGCAGCCACACTATAGGAATGAATGAAATGAATGAAAGACTTAATTTAAGTGTCTATGTTTTCAGCTATAAGCTAATGGGGGACACTAAAAAATTTAAAAGTCAAATACATTTACATATGTAGATAGTAGTTATTTACAGTAGATAATTAAAAAGATTATAAAGTTATTTAGTTAAGTTTTAAATTTCAACGAGAGTTGAAAGGTCGACTTTTCTTTTGTTCTTCTTGAACGAATTTAGAGTTTCTATCGTTCTTATAAGGTGTCTTGGTAACTTCGACCAGATGAGAGGTCCCATATATTTAATAGAATTCCTACCAAATCTTCCAGTTTCGAATCTTGGCAGTTCGAAGTCACTGTTCCGTAAATTATACTGAGTGTTCTTTATATTAAATAAGTCAGAAATATT